CATCTATTGTCATAGGTTAGATACATAGAGCCACGGCTCTGATCACCTTCACTAATGAGCCAAGAAAGAGTAGGACTCTCACCTAATAGAGTTTAAGTCGATGTGCGGGGCTCCACCCCGGACATCGACTTGTCAACAACCAGAAGTTTGAAGATCGAGAACTGTATGATCAATAGAGGGACGAAATTTTCACTTTATTGTTGGCGAAATAACATTAAGATGTCGTAGTACATAAGAACTGTGGGGACAATGATGAGGTCCATGGAAAATGAAAAGGTGTAGTTGAAGGTAGAAGTTGAAGCTGAAAAGTCCCCAAAGTGTGAGGAGTAAGTGCTCATTTCGCATAGCTATTTCATTCAAAGCGGTTGATGTGTCTAAGAACTTTAGAAAGCGTGCATCCTTGAAAGTAGTCGTTATTGCGATTAAGAATTGAATTCTAGGAGTATGCACGTCAACTAGCTTTGAGTAGTATAGAGAATAACTCGTTATGGTGGAAGATATGGAAGTTGCGCGGTTGTTAGCTGGATTCTCCATACGATTCCGAGCAGAATGATATATGGATGTTAGGGGTTTTGAGTAGGAGCCGAGATAAGCCACCAGAGCCAAATGCCCCGTCGGCTTTGGTCGTTCTCTACCGCCTCTCAAATTGCACACTCTCTACGCCACCAAGCGTCTTCTACGGGGCATTTGGCCCTGGTGCCCTTTTCTCCGTTCTTTGCAAATTAGTGGAAGCAAATCGTATATTATTATGAAGGCCTTGAAACTTACATTTGAATAGACAACTGCGCAACGTTCAATTTTTTGGTCTGTATGAATGAAATAAGAAAAACCGTGTTTTTTGTTTTCCTCAATTTCTAGATCAAATCGAAGTTTTTCATTCCGTTTTTCCCTCATCCGACAGGAAATCTCATTCACAATTCAGCTAACAACTAGGCAACTTTCAGTTTTGAATATCTAGCGAATTAATTTGAAGGACGCACCAAAGAACCCGTATTTCTTTTTATGACTTTCTAGATCTCTTGCGCCTAC